CAGGGCACAGAATGCTTTCCTGGATGTCCGGGTTTTTCATCCCGATGCTCCGTCCTATGCCACCAAACCTCTTGACAAACTGTTGGCGGAGCATGAGAAGAAGAAGAAGCTGCAGTATGCTGAGCGCATCATCACTGTGGACCGTAGGACATTTACTCCACTAGTTTTCACCACGGCCGGTTGTTGCGCGCCAGAGTGCTCCAGATTTTTCAAGCGCCTGTGTGGCCTCATTTCGAGTGGGACACGAAGTTGTATGCCGAGACAATGACATATGTCCGGTGTCGACTGGCGTTTGCATTGTTGTGGCCGGCGATCATGTGCATCCGCGGTGCCCGATCGTCATATCACCGTCCTGTGAATGCATTGCGAGAGTTGGCAATCTCGGAGGGCCGGCTGTGAGGTTTTGGAGACGATGGTGGGCCGGACATTGCCCTTGTATTTTCCTGGTTTTTTTTGGTGTTTTATGTTTGTTTGTTTTTTCGCGTTTTTTCGCGTTTTTTCACACATACAATTGTTTTCATTTTTTGGTGTTGTGTTCTAATCATTCGCCATGCCACTGTCAATTGTATTCTGTTTCCCCGTAAAAGAGGCCTTTGAGCAATGACTGGAAGTGGGTGAAAACTTGAAAAGAAGGTCCCCAAAATTGTCCCGAAGTACCGAGTGACGTCACGCCGGACTTGACCTCCACGCGTACATTCATCGTCAAAAACGAAGTCCAGCCCGTGTGCTGGTTGATCGAGCCAACTGTTCGATGTACGGTGCACGCTTGCCTTCTGAACTCGGACACTCGATGTGTACGTTGTACACAATGAGAACGCCAAAAAGGGACAAAATAAACAAAAGCCGACAGCAGTTTGTCGCACTGGTACTTCCTCCACGAAGCTCCAGCTCTTTGTTTTATTTGTGATTACGAAGGAGTGGAAGGATGTTTGTTTGCTGTTAGTGTGACACACATACCTCGTGCTTGAAAATAATGTCGTTGTATCGAAGCCGAAGGTGGCGGTGTTGCCCACCCGGCTCTGAAATGAAAGACGTTGGAGTTTGTTATCTGCATCTTCAGCAACATCGCCAGATGAATCGCCTTCACGTACCTACATTGCGTTCCTTTGGGGCTCGGGTTGGTGGTGTTATCGCCGGCCGGAGGAGTACTGTTTTCTGCATACGCACTCATCATCGTGTTGTTCCTCACACGAAAAGTTCAAAACAACGACGTACTTCCGTGCTCACAAAATAAAACTTAGATCCTCGCGGAAGAAGTCAAACAGGTGAAAGCTCAGCTGCTTTTTATTTTAATTTGGCTGTGTAGCTGCACGTGGGTCTCTGCCTCTTTGGCATTCTCCTTCGGTACGACGTACCCATCTGTGTTACAGTTCAAAAGGCACACGTACGCCGTACATTGGAACAGCTAGCTCGATCGACCAGCACACGGGCTGGACTTCGTTTTTGACGACGAATGTACGCGTGGAGGTCAAGTCCGGCGTGACGTCACTCGGTACTTCGGGACAATTTTAGGCACCTTCTTTTCAAGTTTTCACCCACTTCCAGCCATCGCAGAGAAAAACGGATAACACCATCGTGATCAGGAGCCAAAGAACTACAAGATAAGACAAAGAAATGTTTTGGTGACAGTTCCCCTTTAACTTTCTTCCTGTCATTAGATGTTGCCTTCATATATGCAGTTCAATAAGTACCTATGCAATGGATGTTTTTGTCATCTATTACCCTGATGTTGGGCCAGGCCCGGAAATTTGGTGTAATGTAAATATGATTTGAATCGCAGTAAAGAGACTGTCTTGGATTAAGAAGGGAAGTTGTATAAAAGCGCTAGCCTTGTTAGAAAAAACTTGCACCGTGATTTGTGCGTTCAGTTGCACGGGAAAGTATTGACCCCTGACATGCTAAGCTGTTCGGACGTATCCATTTTCGGACCAGTTTTCGGGCAAGCCTTCAAAAATCGGGCACTGTCCGAAAGATCGGACGGTTTGGCATCACTGCCTATGTCAGGTTGTGCGCACAACTTTAAAAACCGTGCACCTGCTATAAACTCCCTATGTACGGAAGTTAGTAAGCTGCCAGTGGTACTCGTAATACTTACCAGACTTGACGATGAAGTCGCGGACATTGCAATGAACTCCTGTGACTACTGTTTTGTCCTTGGTGATGATCCAGTCTTGACCTTTGTGATCTTGTCCCTGGCAGCCTCCAGGAAGATTCAAAGGGGCATCGTTTCCAAACTCCCAGTATCCAACCATATTCTCCTTTTGCACGGCATCCTATGAAGGAGCACAGAACAACCATTGAGGAGAAGAATGTAATGTCACAGAGTGGCGAGTGGTTAGAATGCGTGGACACGAGCATGACACACCAGAGACGTAGACATATAACCGTTCATCATTCACATTATCTACTTACGTCAACATTGAATGGCCTATTGGCAGCACCTGCTGCAATGGCAGTGGAGGAAAGAACGCCTTGATAGACGCGAGCGTTCTTGACAGTTCCTTCGAAAGCATTGCACTTCGGCCAGCACCACACCTCACCTCCGATGTACATGGCTCTAGCGGATGGCTGGTACTTAACCAATGAGCGTTGTTCCAGGATCTGGTAACAGAGCAAAATTAGTTATCAGTGGGGTGGCTTGCAGGACTTACAGTTGGGGATGGGCCCCTACCTGGATGGTAAGACCCGGGACTTACAGTTGGGGCTGGGCCCCTGCCTGGATGGTAAGACCCGGGACTTACAGTTGGGGCTGTTAACCCTTTACCGGCAGCACCATACTTGAATGCGTCAACGTTGACGCATTCGACATGCATACAAAACCATGCCTGGCATGACGGAAAGCATCAGCCCACGGGGATTTCCCGTGGCCCTCACACAGCCAAGGTACGATCCTATCGGTAGCTGAAGAGATCCACGCGTGTCCCATTTGATTTCATTGAGAACTGCGCGATCGAAAACTTACGGAAATACACGCGCGCCGACAATGCCGTCCGCCTCCGTCAAAACATCGTCAGGTGCATTTTCTCTTGCGCAGTGAGTTCCTATCATCCTCGGATGACTTCTCCGACGAGGACCTAGCAGTCATTCGCTCTGTGACCGACGACAGATAGATAAATACTTCGTTACAGCCGCCGATGCAAGCGAATTTCAAATTACGGAGCGGGGCGCACGCCAAGTAAATTCTAACACAAATATGGGGAGCGCCAGCCGCTGAAGACGATGTCGTCGTGATGTACCTGGAAGAAGCTGATGGTGCTTATGGTGGGGAAGCCATGGAGAGCGATCCCCGTGTCGACAGTCTCCCAGAGACGGAATTTAGGCCATCGATTATCTACGTACCTGAGTGACGGCAGCGCAGCGTGGCGTGCGTGCGACCGTACGGAGCTTTCCGACAGCAATTCTGGGGCGATGCTGCTCTCATTTGCGAGCGAGGCATGGCCACTGCAGTTTGTGATGGCTATGGCGTTTGTTTCCGCTCCGAAGTCGACTTGTTTGGGCAGTTGCTTGTCCTCTTCTGCGAGACCGCTTTACCTTGCACGCCCATGGTGCTCGCACTGCAGCCACCACCCGTGGCCAAGTCTCTGCTGCTCTTGTTCTGCCCCCCGCTAACACCCGACATGGCTTTAGTGCAATTTCTTATTTGGGCGCTGCCAGGTGGAATACACTTCCACCCACTTGCCGCATGTCTAGTTCACCAGCTGAATTTCGCTCATCCATCAAATTATTCCTAGGGTTCCCTGTAAAAAGGCGCTGACGCCTGTTGGGAATTCCCTAGTAAAAGAAGAATAAATAATAATAATAATACTAATTTGGAAAGGATTGGGAGAACTTCAAATTCAAAGGATCAGTCGGGGAAGTGAACTGCCTGAAAAGAGAAAAAAAACGCCAGACCCACCAGGACTCGAACCTGGGACCCTGCTTGTCATGAGCAATGCTCTAACCACTGAGCTATGGGACCAGGCTGAACCTAGAAGGCGCTGACAAGTCTGGGGGAGGGAAAAAACCCAAGTGCCATCAGTATGTGTGGCACGTGTTGTGAGCTGCCTTTGGAGTGAAATACTTGTCAGCGCCTTCTAGGTTCAGCCTGGTCCCATAGCTCAGTGGTTAGAGCATTGCTCATGACAAGCAGGGTCCCAGGTTCGAGTCCTGGTGGGTCTGGCATTTTTTTTCTCTTTTCAGGCAGTTCACTTCCCCGACTGATCCTTTGAATTTTAAGTTCTCCCAATCCTTTCCAAATTTAATCACTTTCTTTCACCTCTGGTAGTTTCCAGAAACTGACCGTGGTTGGTCCCCTGGGGGAGGGAAAAGACCCAAGTGCCATCAGTATGTGTGGCACGTGTTGTGAGCTGCCTTTGGAGTGAAAGACTTGTCAGCGCCTTCTAGGTTCAGCCTGGTCCCATAGCTCAGTGGTTAGAGCATTGCTCATGACAAGCAGGGTCCCAGGTTCGAGTCCTGGTGGGTCTGGCGTTTTTTTTCTCTTTTCAGGCAGTTCACTTCCCCGACTGATCCTTTGAATTTGAAGTTCTCCTAATCCTTTCCAAATAATAATAATAATAATAATAAGTATCATGTCAATGTCGGAACTCTGACGATTTGCATGTGTACAATTTCCGTGTTTAGACGTAGAGGTGCCAATTTAGCAGCGTATGTGTGTGGTATGAGAAAATAAATTTTTTCTTGGTCAAGAAGTAGTACTAGACTTCCAATAAAAACATAACTTGCATATACAAAATGTGGCCTCGTTGTGAGTTATTGGCATCCTTCTAAATGTTATGGATTTCACATACAAAAGTAACTTGCCGGTAAAGGGTTAACCTGCCTGAATAGTACGACCAGGTGCATTGAGGCAAAACCTGAGGGTCCTGTGTTAAGATCCAACAACTTTTGAAAAGAAATAAAATTAAAATTAAACTCTCCTATCACGAATCTCCCTTTAGCGTCCTGCAAGAATGAAGAAGAACCGGTTTGATATACATGTACCGGAAATGATCAGCTTAGTGTGGATACCATGCAATGATGTTTGGCTAGAGTCCTGCAGTATGTCTACCTCCATGTCCTTTGCTTCACACCCACCTGTCCATGAGCGTGGGCTTATCCATATCACAAGACAGCTTACAATAATGGGTACTTGCCTTGCTGCCATTGACATAAAGGCGTGCATACGAGCCATCCATGGTCAAGACCAGATGGTGCCATTGCCCTACGGTGGCCTGCTTATTCGAGCGCGTCTGCGTAGTGCATCCTCCATTGGTCGGTTTGTAGGCCATTCCGAAATTTCCATTGCTGATGATAATAGCAGAATCTCTGCACGAGTCCATGTTGCCAATGATTGTCTGGAGAGCAGCAGAGAGAGAGGGTACCGATATCATCACACCCATAACCACACCACCACAATGGCAATAAATTAATTTTTCAAAACAGGAGTGTGCTATGAGGCATAACATGAAGAGCACGCCAGGCTGCCGAGTGCCTTTTGCACCAGACATACCACATTTCAAAGGCCGCTGTGCAGACTGCTGGCATTCGCCTCTACGGATCATCCTGTGTGAAGCCAAGACATTCACGCAGCAAACCATAGTTTGGGATTGAACTGAACACAGTTTTACACTGATAACATTATGTGCATGACTAAACATGGTCAACAGAGCTTGGCGATATGTTGGACATTACCTCTCTGTAATTCTGTACGAAATCGGCCTTGACCCAGACTTCGTAGCTAGAAACAAAGCCGGGATGGAACGCTCCCATGTCAACGTAGTCATTGTGACCATTGGTGTGGACGCCGCAAGCAAATGGTGGTCCGGCCTTCAAAGAGCAAACATACCGACATGCAGCACAGAATGAACACGCTGCTGCATGGCCACCAGCATCAAATTGAACAGGAAACGTAGTGACTCCTGGACAGCCTTTGCATACCGATTAACACTCCGAAACCAGAGCAAACGAATCAAACACATTTTGTTCCGGCCAATCCTGCTCTAAATGGTACCAGTCAAATGCAACCGGATCCAGAAGCCAACACTCTACGATACTGTCCACCATCATTTAAAATATATACGAGTACAGGTAGGCAAAGCAACAGGACACTACTTGAAGTACAACATGTGCTTTCAGGCTCCAGGTTACTTTGCATACTCGGTGATTACTGTAGACTTGCAATCATCCGTTTCCACGAATTGGCGAGGAAATATGACAAAAAGGCAAGCGAATAGGCCAAGTCTGAGTGTGCAGCAGGAAAGACCGTGACTGCAGCAGTTATCCAGCAATGCAGAACTATGTGTGAAGGAGATTTTGTTGCTGTTGTTGCTGCTGCTGCTACTCCTGCTGTTGTCGTCGTTGTTGTTGCTGTTGTTGCTGCTGCTGCTGCTACTGTTGTTTCCTCTTCATTGCCATGATCATTGTCCCTAATCTATTTCAGCAGGAGAGCCCCAAGCACTGTACATGGACTTACAGTGTTGTCGTTAATGCAGTTTGAGTACTGCTTTCCCTTCCAGTTGAATGGGAAAACACAGTCTCTGCCCGTTCCGTCTCCACCAGTTGTGGCAATGACAGTGTTCGGCTTGGCTGGACAATCGTATACGCGGGGGGAGAGGATACAGAAAATGTGCGAGAATCTCACTGAACAGATACACCGCAACAAGCCTGAATCATTCCATCAGCTCTTTGGTTGAAAAACAAATGCACTGCAATTCGAAATCAAGACGATACCGGCGGAACGCCTTTGTTCAGCAGGGTTCTGTGAAGGTCTGCTCCAGGGAACATGCACACAAAATAATACCTAGCACTGTGATAGCTTACCTGAGCACTTTCCGCCGTACAGGCAAGGAGCCTTGCGGGTGCGTTCCAACTCGTACTGGCAGTAGTCAAACGATTCACACCGCTCTCCTACGTAGCCGACCGGGCAAGCACATCCTCCGGTGAACAGATTGCAGGTTCCGCCATTCTGGCAGGTGCACGTCGGCACTGGATTGACAAGAGAACAATGGGGATCAATCAGAACATTCAATTGGACATCAACGGTCAACGGTGCACAGCAACAGATGATTCTACTTGTCAAGTAGTACATGTTCAATATCATGATAAAGAACTCTACTCCTGGGTTGGCAGTCATAGGCAGTTCTTCATCATCTCTTCCAGCTGCGGAGCTCGGAACAATTCGCTCAGGCCCGTTTTAACTAAAGAAGTATGGGTCTAGCATGAATCTTGCCATAGAGCTGCATGGATAGCAATGAAGCTGTGCAAGGCATGAATCTTGGCATAGAGCTGCATGGATAGCAATGAAGCTGTGCAAGGCATGAATCTTGCCATAGAGCTGCATGGATAGCAATGAAGCTGTGCAAGGCAAAAGCCGTATGCTCAGTTATACTGAGCAGTGACTTCATAAGAGAGGTATGGGCACTCTCGTGCAGTTCCATCCGTAAAGTTTTGGCCAGGCCCTAGTCCTATGGGCATGCAGACTGTCTGGATCAATTGCTGCTTGGCTTGCATGGGGGGGGGGGGAGGAGGAGTGTGGTTGGAAGAGGGTGGCTGGTCTAGGAGAACAATGATTCATTACACATGATCTGGCAATCCTTGACGCACACGAGTAGCAACCATACTTACCCATGCATGTTCCCGATGTGGTGCAACCTTTGCCGAGATAAGTACAGCTGAAGGAGCAAAGTCTGTTGTTGGTTTTGGAGATGACGCCCCTGCCAAACGTATCTGCAACAAGCAAGGAAAGACCAGACACGCACTGTCATGCATAATAATAATCACAGGAAAGTACGGACTCTCTTCTTCCTCTCTTTCGTTCTTGTCTTAGGCAATTACTAATGGCATGCCGGGATCAACTCTGCACAGTGAGCTGGGAATCACGGGAAGGGTTCTGTTTAAACATGAACACACCGCTAGTGCATCCAATTTCACCAAAACAGGGTCCATGACGACCTGTGTAACCCCAAAACATGCCCCCTCCCCCCCCCCCCCCAACCGGAACACATACTTCTGTCATACCACGGTGAATAGACGGTGCAGCCAAAACAGAGTCCATGACGACCTATGTAGCCCCAAAGCATGCCCTCTCCCCTCACCCTCACCCCCCACCCAACCCGGAACACTTACTTCTGACATACCACGATGAATAGACGGTGCAGCCGAAACAGGGTACATGGCGACCTATGTAACCCCAAAGCATGCCCCCTCCCCTCACCCTCTCACCCCCCCCCCCCCAACCGGAACACTTACTTCTGTCATACCACGGCAGGGATGAATTTATCCGGTATCGCATCGCAGTTTGCGATTCAAAATCGATCGAGTGCGACTCAAAAATCACAGCGACTCGCAGGAAACTGCGATGCATAAGCGGCACTGCATACTAGCTCGCGCAGTCAGTAAAAGTGATGCTGTGACTGTGTCGTACACTTACTACACCTGTACAGTAGTGCACAGACCCCGCTTTTTTCTCGGGAAGGTGTGATTTCTAGTACATGTACCTGTGAACTGTGGCTGGCTCCGCGTGCACATACTGACTGTACTGGTGTCCTACTTGAACTACACGTACCACTTTGCGCGGCTTTCATTCAGTAAGTAAGTTCATGGACTTTCCGTACTGACAAGCATCCCGCATCCCGGCGGAGGTCTTGTTTTTTCTTCTTTCTGGTTCACTTACCTCTTTTTGTGATAGCTTTCTGCTTGTAGCCAGTCGGTCTTTCTGGTGGTGAGGAAATTCTGGAATCACGTTCGTCCTTCTCTCTGACAATTGTCCAAGCTGTAGTTTTTGTCTAGTCTGGTTCTGCCTCCAACATGTCTGTACGACAGAGTACCTTTGAGAAGTGGGTGGCAGAGGTCGATGTCGAGAAGAAATGGGTTCGTTCTGAGAAAGCAACAGGTGCAGCGGCGACGCTAATTTTATGTGAAATAACGGTCCTGGATGGACTTTTTCGTGGAAGAAAAAGTGCTAATCAAAAATCAAGGACTGCTACGCATTTTGACGTTTGCGTCGCGAAAACTGCTATGCAAAAAAATGACAGTAAATTCATCCCTGCACGGTGAATAGACGGTGCAGCCAAAACAGGGTCCATGACCACCTATGTAACCCCAAAGCATGCCCCTCCCCTCACCCCTCCCCCCCCCCCCACCCGACCCGGAATACTTACTTCTGACATACCACGGTGAATAGACGGTGCAGCCGACCACCGAGTGGCCAGGCGTGCACCAAGATTTCGGGGTTTTAGAATAGCCACTTCCCGGACTTCTTTGGATTTTGATGTCAACGTAGGACGGACTCCAGCGAGTGCAGGTGGCGACGGCCTGTGGAAGACACGACGGAAGCATGCACAACTTGCTTCAGCGTGATACACCAGGCATCAAAATTCTGTAAGTTTTGTGACGTGCTCAGCTAAAAGTGTACGCTTCTCGTTGGCTGGATATTTGAAATAAACGAGAATCATTGTTCTTCGAATGACGAACATCTGCGATGCGTGTTTTTTTGTTGTGTTTTTCTATTTATTTTCTTTTGAATATTATGCTCTTTTTATCTTGCAATATGGCTGCCCGCAGCCGCAGTAACCCTGCACTGGTTATGGCTGATGTGAGGAAGAATGAGAGTGTTGTGTGGGACGGCGTGTGTTGACTGTCATTTCTCCAGGTTCAAGTTTACTAGCATTACTGCCTCATGTGCTCAGTTGCAGCATTGACTGGATCCTTGCCTGTACTTTGTCGCAGACACACTTGTTGGAGATATTTTTAAAAAAAGAAAAAGGGGGGGGGATAGAGGGGCAATGTTTCTAGCAACAACTGGCAGAACACGTGGTTGATAGCATGATTGTGACCCCATGAAGAACTTTCTGAGCACTTTGAGCTCTTGGTGCAGCGGCACATGGCGCGAGCAATGAAGTTCAAGCTGAGTGGCAAGGTGCCGCAAGGAATACTATACAACAACGTCGCCATAGGCAGCTATCATCTTCGTGTATCTTTGGGAACTTTCTGCACATAGTGTACATACAGCTGAGCACAACACCTCAGAACCCACCGACGTCTTAATTTTGACGTAGCTGGCTCTAGCATAGCAGATTGAATTCGCTGTGTTGGGAAATGCACCGTCGCACTGCGATATGTCGCACGCACACTGCTTGAGAATACTGCCAGTTGGGCAGCGTACATTAGACGTGGCATCGTCGCGTGCTGGCGTTGCAGTGCCACGCGCAGTCAAATCACCTGTGTGAGCAGCACATGCACGCACACATGAGAATGCACGCATGCACACAAGCACATATGAGCATGCACGCATGCACACACGTACACACACAAATACACATAAAGAGTTGAGTGTACAGAAAATATGTACACATAAAGCTTAAAAAAATTATAAAAAACCAACTGCGCACTCATACTTCGACACACAAGGCAAGGTAGGTCTAGAGGTTTCCAAGAACGTTTTCTTGTGATTTTTTGTTCGTGTAAAGTTTTATTTTACATCGCAAACCAAACGGGCATTGATGCCCAATATTATGATGGCGATAGAATAAAAAGTGTGGCTCGATAAAGCTGCACTTGAGAAAATGAGAAAACAGTCAATAGGAAGTATTTGTACCGGTAATTACAAGTCAAGTTCGAACGAAGTAACAATCAGGGAGAAAAATAATTAATAGGAAGATGAGGGCTACATGTATGCCAGAGGGAGGTGCTATTCGGCCATATTAACCGTAGAAAAACACTTTCAGCAATCTTTTTAAACGGGGTTGGACGACGAGTGGCCGTGAGTTCCTGTGGCAGGGTGTTGATGATCATCAGTTGGAGAATACATCACATTAAGGTCGATTATTCATACACACAAGCACACATATAACATTAAATTCTAGTACACATATACACACACACACACATGATTCAGGCAGTTCATTTCCCCGACTCATCCTTTGAAATAATCCATCACTACAATTGTGAACTGTAGTGATGGGCTAAAGCATACTTTACAAGTCACAGACCTAACCATAGCTTTTTCTCAAAGACAAGACGTTGCCAGCGTGTATATTCTAGCTAGAGAGTCTGAGTGGTTAGCATACCTGCAAAGCACCCAGATACAATAGAACCTGTAACTAAAGACCACTGTGACTAGCGATCAGCCTGGCACTACGGACCACTTTGCCAGGCACATACGGTCTCACATTCATATAATATGGTTGTGCGGTGCAAACCTCTAACTAAGGACCACCTGCCACTAAAGACCGCTTTTTCTGGCCCCAAGGGGTGGTCGTTAGTCACAGGTTTTACTCTACTTTACAACCATCCTAGTAATTATTTAAATTTTATTTCACCGTCCAATGGCAGACACCAATGCAAAGGAGGGGGCGTAGTGCATGTACTTACTCTAGCAGGACCTACAGTAGTCTGCATTTGGGAAGCAGTGGACCAACGGATCGTAGAGTACTATACTGCAAGCGGCTTGTGCCGCCACCATTGGTTAGTTCGGAAGCCAACAATACACACACCCATATCTCTCTTACCCGGTCTTCTAAGTGACGGGTACCTCGGTCTACCCTAATAGTAACTTAATACATGCATCTTCGGAAGGCCCCTTAGTACAACATAAGTATACTAATTATTTGCTGTTCCATGACAGAACTCCGTGCGCACTTACTCTGAGGCTGTGAACAAGTGGAACCCTCCCATCCGATGGGACATTCACATTTGTACGAAGTCTTGGTGACCGCAATGCAAGTTCCGCCGTTGTAGCAAGGGTGGAGGCTGCCGTCGGTGGGCTGGCACGGCGACACCATGCGGAAGCGCATGGCATACGTGTTTCCGTTGTTGACGACGGGCATGCACGTTCCGGGGAAGCCACCGCACTTGCCCGTCACCAACTGCTGCGGACCAGCTGCAGTGAGTCAGGAGAAAAAGGGAAGAGTAGCATCAGTACAGGAGGTAGTAGTAGTAGCAGTGTTCTTCTATTTTCCATCGGAAGCCTCAACAGTGATGAACACAACTCTTAAGAGGGCGATGACAGAGTAGAGGAGTGAGGGTTGAGAAAAATAATAATAACAAGTCACCACCATCGGAGGGTTAGCCCCGCTGCCACTGGTCAACTTGACAAAAAAAAACCGATAGTGGGGCACAGACAACGCAAGTACCATTTTGGGCTGGAGTAGATCGTTGCATAATCGAGGATTCTCAAGGTAACAACAAAGCTACCACACAAGCTTCTTTTTTTCCCACCTCCCTTAACCCCGTCCACTGATTAGCAGACTTTCCGTCAAGGCAAACCTCAGGGTGGATACAGGTAAGATTGATTATGAACTTGCCAAGCTTAGGGTCCCTGATGTTTCACCCTGGCTTTTAACAAGCAGCCGATTGACTATGAACAGACACCTTAACCTGTCATCAGGTAACCATTATGGCTGCAGTTTAAAAACGAGTAAAGGTGACCACTCGGATAAGGCGAACACCTGTCCCCAAAGACCACCATAACTAGGATGAAAGGATGGCATTTCCAGTCAATGACCCCGGAAAGGAAAACCACCCGCACACGAGGACCACATTCGTAAGGTCCATTGCGCAGTCGGTGTGGACAAGTTTCACTGTACGACTCGTATATGTATATGCGATTCGAAAATAATTTTCACCATGACAATTTTCTTCTGAAACATATTTTGAAGTCCAGCTTTCTGTGCTTTTAAAGTATTCGCTGCCCATCTCGATTCTGTCCTGAACGCACTCTGTTCCAACTTCTTTTACGCTAGCACTCACCCTCTGCTTCTCTTATTAGCAATTTAATGCTCTGCGGTGGGGAATAAATAGACCAATGAGTCAATGATCCGACCCTCGAAAGGCCTGCGCTAACTATCAAGTGATTATCTTGACCCCTTGCCCCATTGCCCATTCTATCCCTAAGCACAGCAGCTTTGGTCTCTTGTTTAAGCGCACTAATCACAGAATGGTGATTTTCTTCTCCAGAGCATTTGAAATGTTCCTTACACGGTCCCAATGCTTTGGTTGTATTAAAAAAATTGTGGATGACGATTGTCTTACCAGTTGCTGTCGGGGCGTTGGTTAGAACCGGAGTGTTGAGGGTCTCGGCGGAGGAGAGCATTTTCCCACTCCACTTCCACGAGGTGACGGTGTCCACGGCGAACGGTGTTCCACGCAGATCGATGGAGAACGATCCCTGTTGGCAGGTGGTCGAGTAGGTGGCCAGGTACATGTCGCCCGCTGTTCCATACCTGAAGAAAGCGTATCATTCCAGCCGGCATTCATTTCAATAGTCAGGGCACGCTCTTTCACTTTGCATGTTTCACACACTTCAAAGAAGTTGTATTTCTCTGCGCTCGGCCGGCGAGAAATGATTTCTCGCGAAATATTTTCAGTTGCAAATATGGCATCTGGTGTGTTCTTTGTTGTCGCTTATTTTCTTGACTTCTTCAGTCAGTTTTGAGTCTCACCAGTGTCCCTGCCCTCCCACCCTTTATTTCTGTGCATATTATCAATGCTTTTTATCACTGTTTGCCGTGATGTGCTTGCCATGCCTACATGCTGCTTAATCGCCATTGGGGATATACACCCGGTTTTTTCCCTCGCAAATGCGTCCGTCGGCGGGAGGGTTTTTTCCCGGCTGGCTCGGTCCAGGAAAATTAATCTGACGGTCCCAAGTGGTTCTGCATCATGGCCTATTTTTGCTATCCACTGGCACGCCTATTCTATCTGAGACACTCTGTTCTCAGTCCTTGCTTGCTTCCATACCTCACTCGTTATCCGGTCACATCTGGCTGCGGCCAACTACCCTTCACTTTGTGTGTTGTCGCTATTGCTGTCTATGTCTCTGTGTATGCCAGTATATGTGGAGCGAGAACAGGTATATTACAGGGGTAACAGCATCTCACAAACACTACTGCACCCCCCCCCCCTAAATATTTCGACCTAGGTTCAGCACGCATGTAAGTCGTTATAACCATGCATGACATGCGCCAGTTATCCTACACATACATTGAATGCGGCCATGCACCCCCTAAAAGGTGGACCAGCTACACCCCTGCTGAGTCTCACGCGAACTGTGAGTTTTTCATTGCGCCGAGCTACATGAGGCGCGAAGGACATGTTAAATCCTTCCAACAAGTTCCCTGTTGCAGCCAGCCTAGTGTATGCTCCACAGTTCTTTCAGTTCGTGCAGTGGTATTTTCTCTGTCCGCTCAAAGTGCAGGTAATAAATCAAGCGAATAAACGCACAGAGAAAGCCCGTTTGCTCGCTTACTTGATGAACTTGCCCTTGGATGTAGTGAATGCGGAGGTAGACTTCGCGCTGTAGTCCATCACAGTGGCATTGACATTCAGGCCACCAATTTTGACGATCTGGCGCAGAGCAACAGACACAGATCAAACACAAGAGGGCATCATCCACGGTTGCCTCTAGTCTTGATGCTCCGAATTAACCCGAACTAGCTTACTTAGTCAAGCCAGTAGCTCATAGCTTCCTTATAGAGGGTAAGCAATTACATCATACGTTGAGGTGCTTTGGCAAAGTCGCGGACTCACCAGCACAGCGCTGCACTTGCACTAGCAACTCCGGCTACAGTCAACTTCGCTTACAACGACACTCGGCGGGGCATCAGAAAAGTGTCCTTATTCGCGAAGTGTTGTCATACCTTAAGCCCCAGTATGTATTTCAGTTGGATGGGCCATTTCCTCTGGGCATGGAACTTCTGTCGTTGTTCGCGAATTGTCATTATATCCGCAGTCGTTATCAGCGAAATTGACATACTTGTAGTCCACATTGGAAAATCTGCCGACTCACGCTGTATACGTAACGTCCATTAGAACATCCGCTCATGAAATCATTCGCACAACCTCAATAAAATCACGTGCACAAAAACGATTTCTTTTCACCGCCTTTTCGTTCTGCTATCGCCGCGATACATGGTAGTTAGAGGGAAGACTGTGTTGCTCACCTTGTTGTACGCAACGACTGGAATCTTCGTGTACAGCGTTGTGCCGTACTGAGCCCAGTTCTTGGCGGGCACAACAGGCGCACAGGTGGTCTTGCGACCTGTAACGACAATACAATGCAAGGAGGGCACCAGAGCATCATGAATAGATCTAGATATGCATGCTGGGAACTGGACTTCCACAGTTCCAGCCGACTCAGTCAAGCATGGAATGAGGTTTTAGCAGCATGCAGCTGATCCCTCAGTCCGCACAAATGTTCAAGAAAAGAATACCCCATGTCATAATGGCTGCCAGCGACCAACAACGGCCCCGTACACTAGTTACGTAATGACTTTCCTCCATAGCTATAGACGAACAATTTCGAACACTTCTCGTCTCCATCTCTCAAGTTACAAAATAGAACCGCACTGCTACTGCTAGTAACAAACCTTCGCCCTACAACTTGTAGGTTACGCTCGAAAGAGCTAAGAACTTAGTAACTTAGTTTCTTCCACGCAATCGCCACCGTGAATAATTTCGCTGAGCGTAGACTCTATCGGCACTTCAAACCGTGGGACCATCTACCACAACAACGCCACGTTTTGGGGCCTTCGGAAATTATTCGGAAGGTTGGAACTAAGTAACACTGAAATTCAGGATCCTACTAGTACTAGTAGATCTACTACTACAAAAACAGTACTACTATAGTAGTACTATGTCATTGTATACAGTATAGACTATAGTTGTAGTGATCCCGGGATGGATCTCTTGACAACACAGACTCCGTAACCAGGTAACACCTGTACGATACTTTTACCATACTCACTACTTACTCGATTCGGAGGAAAAACCTGATTACTGATCTACCGATCCTCCTCCTCCCCCGGCCCCGTCAGCCTGGTTTATTTTATCATGTTTACCAAGAATCTCAAAAGAAAAGCGCATGCCAAGTCGAGACTCGAGCGGAGGCGAGGTCTAGAACTAGAAGGTTCAGGTGGACCCACATAATTATTATTGTGAACGTAGATGTACATGTACATGCATGACTGTCGGTGCAAGAGACAGCCTCAAGCACTGACTGCGCCTGTGCGGATTGTGGTCGTCCGCTACCACCATAATCATTGATCACTGCCGCTCAGGACCCAGGAGCTCCAGATGCCCACGATCGATTCATTAGTAAGGCAGCGTGAAAGGTAGATCTACTACGATCTACCTTATCTGCGTTCACGCTACATGGTCAAACTCCTAACGCAATCATCGGATACAGCACTGAACTAATACTTCGGTACAGTAGCCATTTCACTGCGTAGTCACATTCTACGTGAAATCAGTACACTGTACTATCACAAATTAGAAAGGTTGCCCTCCATGAAATTAGTCCTGTCTAAAAATCATAACGTTGATTCCTGAAACGACTGCAGGCAACTGCATGGGTATATCATTATCAATACACTGTAAACATACATGTATCTCTGATAAGACGTACACGTACATGTACCTCAATGCATGGACAGTATGAAAGTGCGCTTAGCATCTGAGGTATTTCCTGCCCTAACATATTTCAACACGCATCAATAAACCGGTGCTCCGGACAATGATGTGGTTGCTAAGCAAGATTACGTGTACCGGTGCGTCTTATCACTCAGGGTAGTCTACGTACTAGGTGAGTTGCAGTGCGCAAGAAAGACCTTTGCCGAGACCATGTGACTTACCGACTCTCTGGTAGTAGATGGCCCTATTGGTTCCTGAGCCTTGGGTCAGCGTCAGGAACATGGTCGGCGTCCCTGTGCTCATGCCTGAACAGGGAAATACAAGAACGTTTCGGAGTGGAGGGCAATGAGTAATACGACAAACATGTGAGCCACATGCAATACGAGATGCCCATAAAACCAGCTCAAGGGACCAGGAGAACACGAACAAGTCCCAAGGAAGGCACGATGGCGTCCGCTCCGAGAGCACGTCAGTCCTGAACGGACCACAATGTAATTGGTTGTGTTGCCATCTTTGGGCGACTTGTAGCCAAGGACGATGTCCCTAGCATCCTACATGTATTACACGCCTGCTTATACTGCAGTAAGAGAACCATCGGACGAGAGCTTAGAAAGCCTATGGTAACGTTACACAAAGAGGCGTCAGGTCGTCCACAAAACCCCGGTGGGTTTTAACGGAATTCCGAGGAGATCAATCTCGTACTTCGGCCCAGTGGAAACACCGAGCAAAACGCCCACCACGCTGATCTCTTTTCCCTGAACCCGCTCGTCCAGCTTACCCTGGCAGTAAGCCTGAAAGGCAACGTCGTCCTGGATGAAGATCATATAGTTTCCATCCTTGGTCTGCTTGTACCTGGTCTTGTAGTCAACACAGCTATAGCCGAACATCGTTCTTGTTGTAGTGGTGGACTGGCTGTGTACCACGGCCGCTACTGCCAGCAACGTTAGTCCGAGGGCCACAAGGACTTCTAGCCGCGCCATGGCTAGAGCGTGAGGTCAGAGAGCCTCTACACGCGGCACGAAAGGGGAGCAAGAAGCGATCTGATTCTTGGTTGTTGTCGTTCGTCGCCCAACCTTGCTCTGATCGGCAACAAGAAGCGGAAGGGTCTCTCCTATGGGTGCTACCCACCACCAAGCACCAAACGCGGGGCAAGTACCTTGGTGTTGCGTTTTTTGCTGACTGGAAATCCAACATGGTCGCATTAGTCTGTGCCTGGTACATGTATGCCGTTGGCCAGTGCGCGGGATCTCCGTATCACCGGGTCCCGGAGATCACGTTCTCCGTGACAGCTTCGCGGCGCCGTGATGGCGAGATATCGCGTGCTGCATGCGTGCACCTGCCCGACGCCCCGGACCGGCCTCTGCACCACCCTGGCCGCACTGTGTGGTTTTCGCAGGTGAAGTAGTTGGGCACGAAGTGGCAGACTGAGCAGAGCATAACACATCGTCACTGTACTGAGCTCGGCCGGAGTGTATGCGACAACAGTGCCATCTCCAAGATGGCGCTGTACACACGCTCCACAAACTCTAAAAGTCTAAAACACCATCTCCCAGCACATTGTCCATAACAATTACATGTACAGACTCACTGTTATGACAGCGCCATCTCCAAGAGAGGCTCGACGTCCGATGGTTCACTCACATCACCTCTCGTACGCGGTTATGATCTAAGCACTTTCTTGGAAGTAAGTTTATGTACAAGTAGTACTTGTAGGTAGTTTGTCTACTCGTGCATGATACGGCGTACTGCCAATATCCCAAGATTACATCCCCGGTAGACAAGCCAGCCTCCGAATCTGCTAGAATAGTAGTCTACATGACGAAGGAGTGTGTCGCTCAGTGCAGTGATCACATGCACACGGACCAGACCATTACGTAATCTCTTTCTAAATGTACGTCACCAAGACGAGGCAATCTGGGAAATCCATTGCCGAGCACCGTAGAAGTAAGATGATATGTAAAAAAATATGATACGAGGGAGAAGCTGCCGGGTCCGTCAATGATGGGCACTCGAGGATTATGTACCAATGAGAATAACAAAAATGTAAACCGGATATGGGTTTTGTGCACTAGGGAGGTTCGAGTCATGTTGACTATATTCCACCTCTCCTGCGTGATATCGCGGGAAAGGTGTAAGATGCTACACTGATCCATGAAAATGATAATAATATTATGGAATAGACATACAGTACATGTATCCCATCACTGGCATCAGCACATTTACTCATGACTGACCCTTCGTTACCACATCCAGCCTAAGTTTCATTTCTACCTACTCTAGTGGACTACAATTCATGATAGTGGAAAGGTGTATTAAAGTGCGTGCCAAAACTACTGGTGTGTTGACGGTGAGAATCCACACTGGAGGATACAATTCCGATACGCGCAACACCCCATCCACACACCTACACTTGTCATGTACATGTACATCTATGTATGTGCTTGTTTCGGCCATCGTCGCGTCGTTTACGATGCGTTCTGCCATGCATGTAAATGTGTCTTTGCTGTTACGTCTCTCACCCCTCTGACTGTAACGGCTGCATCACTGGGCGAAGGAGAACGCACTTGGTCGGACAGTGTGGGACTACAACTGGGAATGTAAACAGCGGACCTTCGTCATTGGTTACCGGTCCTCTGCCCACCAAGGTATGCTTGCAGGTTACATCATGCACATGTACTTGTGGTGCAGCAGAGGGGTGATCGGGAAGGCGGTCTTCCGAAAAGCAACCCTAAGTCTGGTACTCGCTTCATGGAATTCTGTTGTATTTGAGTAGAGTTCCAATTACTTGGAACATTCTTCCTTTCCTGCAATTGTTTTCAGTATTCGAATTGTGTTCTACTCCTCCAACATGGCAAATTGTGTTCTGTTTGCCCGTAAAAGAGGCTTAATAATGATGAAGCCCTAAGTCTGGTCCATGCTCCCAAATGAGCTAGATCACGCTGCATGCTGATCCCGCCCAGTCATGTGCGATTTCGCGCGTTGGCAGGTGCCAAAACTCGTACATCGTAGAATCCTGGGATGAATGTCTCGCAGCGGGCAAGTCATGTGATGTCCCGTCAAGGTTCCGATGATAAGACACAAACAAGAACGATTCCAGGGTGGACGTTGTCAGGCAGGGCCAACGCCTGCGAATAGTTCGGCCGGATCGGAGGACTGTCGAATGTACATGTACGGATGAAGTCACTACCGGAGTGAAATCTTCTCCAGACTTGGGCTGGCTGAGCGATGGTAGCGCACCCGGCCCAATTTCGCACTGCTGCTGTTCCACACAGCATGAACCCTTGAGGTCAGACGGATCACTATCGCCATATTTTCATTATATGCCTGCCTGTTGGCCTGCCTGCCCGTCTCTCTCCCTGCTCTCTGACAACTGGCTTGTTAATTCGTGCGGTTGTTTTCAGACGTAAAGCCCTGCTGTAGAGGTCTCAGCCCTCATTTGTTAGTCTCTCTCTCTCTCTGTCTCTCTCTCGCTCTCGGATCTCTCTCTCTCTCTCTCTCTCTCTCTCTCTCTCTCTCTCTCTCTCTCTCTCTCTCTCTCTGTTTTTGGTGGACAAAAATATCTCTGGCGTTGATTGCTTTCTTGCTTCGACTTCTGCCGCGCCTTTGTTCTCGTACTCCCCTTTATGTACAAGTGTTGTGCAGACCCCCCCCCCTTAATATAGTCTGTCTCATTTTGTCCTGAGATGTTTTGATGCATAGTGATTATGACGCTCATCATTCGCTCCCTTGTCACTGGACAGTTCTGTCCGTTTGGTTTTAGCGAATTCAAATAAAGAAAACAAACAAACAAACATGGTAGATCTATCCGCAATGCTTACAGCAAATGCAGATACCGGTATAGCGTCTTTAGTTTAGGCTTCACTACCTACCTTCCTAAGGTCTAAGTCCCCAGTACATATACAATGTACATGTACATGTATATACAGTGCTGGCAACTGAAATCCGACCCCCCCCCCCCCTAGCGGTGCGCTAGCCGCGTTAGCGATTCGTACGAGACGCTAGGGGGGTCGGATTTCAGTTGCCAGCACTGTAGTATTACTATAATGCGACTCCAAACAACATCGACATGGCCATGGCTGGGAGATTGCACCTAAATGTGGCCCAGTGTAGTCTACACTATTGATTCCCACCTGGTTTGGGTGCGGATCAATGGTAAACGCCATGACTTGTATTGAGGGGGGGGGGGCAGTCATTGTCAGTGCCTCTACGTAGTCTCTCCTCGTGAAGGTCGCTACCCAACATTTCAGCAGCAGGGGGATTGGACATAATTCGCTACCTTCATCTTCCAACATGCGCCCTAAAACGACCAAAACGCTCCTAGTTTTCTTCTGACTCTCACAACCCCTCACTAGAAAGAACAAGCGAGGAACTCGATACTGATAAGTTGTGACGATATTCCTCCCAACAGATAAAATTAATTTTGTGGGTTGGCCATGTGCTTCTATTCTCTTTGAATCTTTTCATTCTTCATTTTCTCTGGCCTCCTTTTCTATCAAGGTTAACCAGAATGACCGCATTGCAATTGGTCTCCGGAAGGTGTCATGTAGGCATTGGCGGATAATGCTCGAAAAGCAGTGAAATTGGCAGAACCATACAAATCTTATGGCGGGCAATTCCTCGAATTCTGCTCCATTTCTTTATCCACATACCAAACATGTATGAAACTAACTTACCAGAAAAAGTACCGAATTCTACTAATTTTCTGCCAGCATTATCCGCAAAGGCCTTGTGTCATGTGCGCGCGTTTTTGTGTGTGTGTGTGTGTAAGTACGGTAATAGTTTATTTATTTATTTATTACGGCATCTCATAGCACAGTGAGAACACCGGCCAATACAAAGAGAGAGGGTGTTAGCCAACCACGGCAAGGCAGGGAGAAGGGGAGGAGAAGAAAAAGGAACCGGCATGGATAAGCAGTGATTGCAACCAAATCAGAAACACAAAATCAAAGCCAAGGCGCGACAAGGCTCTTAAAAAGGCGGAGGGAAGAAAGGTCCTTAGCTTCTTGGGGAAGTGCCAGCCACGCAGAGTACGCAATAAAAAAGGGAGAGTGAATTAGAAAGGAGGACTTAGGTTTCGGAAGGGAAAGGGAGTTTCTGGTGCTACGGGAAGAGAACCAGTTGAAACAGTGGAGGTGAGGTGAGGTGGACACAGATTGAGTTTGAGAGAATGGATAAGGGTGACAAGATGTGAATTACGTCTCTTAGACAAAGGGGAAGTGTCAGCAAGGGCATAAAGGGTGGAAGATGGAAGCATGCGGGGTTTTCGGAGGAGGATTTTGAGAACTTTTTTGTGTTGAACTTCGAGCTTGGCAGCACGGGTTGTGGAAATTCCAGCCCAAGCAGTATCTGCATAATCAAAAATGGGGCGTAGGTAAGCTGAGTAAAAGAGGAGTTTACAAGAGATTGGGAGATGGTAACAGTGAGAAGAGAGAATTCCTAAAGATGAACTTGATCGTTTACATATGTAATCGATGTGGGGTTCCCATGAGAGATTAGAGTCAATGAAAATGCCAAGATGCTTATGGCTGGAGACTATGTCTATAGGCTGGGGGAAAGTGGGATGGAGGAGGGGCGGAACATCGGGCTGAGAAGGAAAGAGCATGATTTTAGTTTTAGACAGATTGGGCGATAACCGCCAAGACGACATCCAGGAAATTACTCTTTGAATCCCGTTAGCTAGGTTACTCATCAGGCCAGTGATGTTAGGAGATGCCCGTAGGAGCGTTGTGTCGTCTGCGAACAGTGATGTGCCCGGGGCAGCTGCGGGCAGATCATTGAGGTATAAAATAAAAAGAAGGGGGCCGCGGATGGAACCCTGGGGAACTCCGGATAGTACTGTTGTGTCGGCCGAGGACGTCCCATGTTTTTTTTTCTTTTTTTCTTCTTCTACAAAATCCACATATCTTCAGACACTGGGGTGAATGATGGAGTGTGGTGGTGGGGCCCATTAAGCTCCGCCGACCAGAGGTCTCGGCTTCATAGCTCCATGGACGCACCAAAGGGATATTGGGTGGGGAGGATTAAATTGAAAAAGAAAACAGAAGAAAGAAAATGGAAAGATTGTATTGCTCAGTGAGCAAAAGAATAAGTTGAGTATTGATGTGAACGCTGTTA